CTGCATGTTTCTGATGATATCCATACAATTCTTTGGCATTACTGTATCTCAATACGATCATGCCCTCAAGAAAGAGAGAATTAGAGGTCCAAAATAGCTCTTTCCCCAAAGCCTCGATTCACAACCGACATCTGTTTCACTGTACGATTAGACAAAGAGTCCTTGTGACTATGACTGTGCCATCTTTACAAGACACGCTCATTCTCAAGCCTCAGTCCAACAGAGTAATACAAACTTGAAATTCTTATTAAAAATACAATTGTAAAGATTGACACGTTTATATAGGTCAATAAACTCTGCACTATACTATTTGCCTCGAGTTTAACACGTGCAAATGCACCTTACATTTCCACTAGTATATAACGGACCTACAGTATACTAAAGTAGGATATGTACATTTGTTATATGGAGAAATAATAGTAAGCACAAGTCTGAACAACTGCTTGTGCCCCAGGACAGACTCCATTTTAATAAAGCTATGATGAAGCCGCCACACACACAACTGTGGTAATACTGTACTTTATTTGTTAAAATACAATACTAAAAAAAAGAAACTGCATCCAAGAGAGGTAAAGCAGCAATGTTTCGAATCCTCTCTCTCACTGTAACCTTGCAAAGCTAGAATAAAAGGCCTGTGAACAGCATTGTAATATGAGCATGGGTCTATATTACTTTGGTCTCCTCACCAGCACCAATCATTGTCCTTCATTTCAACTCATGAGAACAGACAGGGGAAGAGGACCTTCCCACAACAGGCTTCATGTGTATCTGGAAACACAGCGCTTGAGAGTGCAGACAAGCAGACGCTGTTAGTTATCACACAGCTAAAATGAATTGGAATTAATGGAGCCAGAATGATAACAGAGACTCCACAACTCCCATAACAAAGCCAGCTCCAGACACATTGTCCTTGACCACGGAGGATCAAACCAAGACCCCTTGTCGGCTCTGTCAAAGTAACAACACAGCAACCAGAGGTGGGGTGGTTTGCATGTGTATAACCCCCCCTCTGGGCAGGGGTAATCAGGGTTAAACTATAAAACAGCAAGAGATACACAGTATTTTAGTATCCATCCTGCAAAACGAGGAGGCAACCACATAGATCAAAGCTCAAATCTGTCATATTTGCACTTGAAGCATTATTTGTCTTAAGTGTTCATTAATGTGCATTGTCCCTCTTCAAATAAACGATTACATGAAAAAATGAACATGTCGATAGACTGTATGGGAGATGCTTCCACTCATTGGTTTGTCCAGTTTTCCATATTGGCTGTTGTGACACTTAAAGGTGGTACAACTATTACACTGTATAAGACATTTTGAGCCTACCAAATGTTGCAATTAATGTTCAGGAAGTGAAAACACACTGTAAAAAAAGTTGGGAGAACAAAACATGGAGTGTAGTTCTGATAAAACGGTTTTACTCCTTTACAGATTATCTAAGCCAGATCAGAGGCCGTATCAGAGGCCGGAAAGGGTCAGGGTGATAAAGACAGACGGTGTGTGTTCACACCAATAAGAAACAACATTTTATTCCACATGACTGTCACTCTGAAAGAAGTTAGTGAGAGAGACAGACATGGAGAGAAATGAAGGAGCTGCACATGCATCTAACCACAGGTGGCTTCCTGTATATAACACATATAAAACGATGTGTTGAATTTGCAAAGCATGACTACTAATTCTAAATCATCTGATTCTCACATGAAACGATTGAAATATATTGTTCTTATCAGTGTTCAATAATATATTACATGTATTCCAACATGTAAAGTTAAATAAGGTATACAATTACAGAAGTTATGGCTTCAGCATAGTTCTTTTCGTTCAGTAAGCAGTTCTCTGACAAACTATTTAGTAGCTGAATGGAGGGAACATGAACAAAATGTTTTATATTTACTATGTGTGACCCTGGAGACTCTATTACATCTGCTGTAGAGGAGAGGCTGAAAGTCAGAGAACACAGACATGCATGTTGCATCTGAAATAACATCTCTATAGGGGCAGGCATTTCCTCTGAGACATATGGCTGAACTGAACACTCAACGCCGTCTGGACACAGGCTGCGTGTGTGCAGTTTATTTTGCGATTGCATCATGGAGGAATACACGGTACTAAATAATTATTCCCACAATCGAATAAGCTAAGGATAGTTTTCTTAATTCATTGATTAAATGTCTGGTCTATAAAATGTAGGAAAGTGGAAAAATTAAATGTTTTGTCAGTCAAAAAATGATAACATTCAGTGTAACATGATGATAAAATTGAGTAAAGCAGGAACAATTACACTTATAATTAATTATCTAAATATTGTTGGGATTAATTTGACCCATTCAAACAATTTCAACAGAGAGCTGCATGAAATGTTTATTTAATATAAAGACATTTAAAATATAATGCTGACATGGTACATTTAGAATCTATGGTAATACCAATGGGCACTTTTTCGTAACATCAAATAATAATAATGTGGCAGTCATGACTTGGTCGTGTTGTTATGGAAATGAACCATGACACTGAAACACAGGGGTAACAGGGGGGTTAGCTAAAACCAGTTTTAAACCAGATGAAATCCAGCCTAGAGTGAAATAGCTTTCAACTCTGTGTAAAACAAAAGCAAAGTCAAGCTAAGAATCTAGCCAAATCTCAATCAAATTAACTGTGAACCTCAAAATATGGTCAGCTACACACTGAGTTGTTTTCAGATGCCACATCTACTGACGTCCCCGATTTTCCTTGCCTTTTCATTTCATAATCTAAGCCTGTCCTTTGTAGAAGATTATTATTTTCAGATAATTGTAACTGATAGGAAAATGACTTGCCAAAGCGACACACTGGGAAACTCAATAGACAATTTTCCTTTATATGAAAGTCAGAAGGGTGGGTGAAGGGATGAATGCTGCACAGTTGGAACAATGATGTCATTGGTTTCTTGAGCGCAACTGAAAAAAGGTCATAACCCTGTGACATGAGGATTGTGACACAAAAACAGCTGTTTCACTCTGACATGCTCCCTTTGTCCTCCCAATACCGCTGCTGAAAGGACATTGTAAGAGGCTGTCAGGCCCACAAGGTGCAGGCACAGGCCTCATCAACGAGATACATAAGGAGCACTTTAGGATTTGCTTACAAGGACGCCACATTGTCGTGGAGTGAGGTCAACAGGGTTTCATATTGCTCCTCCACTGAGAAACTTGAAGATTGTTCACGCATTTATCAAAGAAAATGCCAAATCTGGGCAGATCCCTGGCCCGTATTTACAATAGGCTGTTGAGAGGATAGAAGAATTAGCAATCACTCTGTAATTTTCTTATTTTAAACGTTGAATTGAATGAGGATGGAATAGAGCAGAAGGGTTCATTTGAGATTTGCATATGAAGTGGAGACAATAAACCACACATTTGATCAGACTCTTGTTTCAATCACACATCTACTTCCAGTTCAATGAAAGCTTCCGATAAAAAAACATAAAATAAACGTTATGCATTCTGTATTTTTTCCTTCTCAGCATGAAAGCAACACATGCGCACAGAGAGGTCTACGCTGCTGACAGTCCTTGGTAACTGCTGAGCTCTATAATTTCAAGCTTTCCTATGAGTCATTGCTTTTAGCTGCCCCCCGCTGCTACACATGCACACATACCACAAAGATACTGAAAAACCTGAAATCAACTTCAGCATACAGTATTCTGTAGGAATCCGCATCCAGGAAATATCTAGTGGTTGACCAACCAGACACATTTAATAGCCCTGGAAAATGTATAGACAAAATCCATTTTAAAACCCATGCACTTTTGAAGCAGACCCATAATTGTTAGCTTTCTAACATAATGAATGTGCTCTCTTTTTAGAATTTGGCAGTGGGTTTTTATAAATGTACAAATCAACAACAGATCTCAGAGTCATATTAAGTAATATTTTGCTGTGCATAGTTGTTTTTTCTTCTGACTTTCAATAGGGTAAAGAGAGTTCATAAACTAAATGATTATTCATCATGAGTTGTGTATCACCTGCAGCATTTCCATTCATTCAGACTGATCCATTTCCAGAATTAAGAGATCTTTAGATTGTAGCGTCAAACAACAAAAGCTGCAGACACCTTTCCAAAAACACTAAAGCACAATTCCAGGAATGCATGATGCAATGTGTTTGTCTGGTCTATGGGGTCTTAACATTCCCAGGTTACTAGCTTACTACCAACAGTGTAAGCTGATAAGCATTACAGGGTTCTTTTATTCCAACAAGTCAGCCAACAATAAAGAGTGCTAGCTACGGTTGTAATGTCAACCAATTGTTAGCAATGAGAAACCTTTAACTACTTCTGTTTGAGATCAAAGACCCATTGTTTTAACGGCTACTATGAATTTATTTAGAGTGGTAAATCTGTGTTTGTTATCATTTTACCTGCAAATAGGCCCCTGCTACACTTAAAGGGAAAGGTATAGCAACTAAGAGGGGCGGGACTAAACAAATGCAAAAAAAATGAACTTGAGATCTAGATTGGACTGAAAACCTTTTCTGGGACAAGCAGGTACTTCCCCACATTCATTGCACATCACACAACATGCGCTCAAAGACAAAGGTACAGTGAATGGCTGCTGGGAACTAAGCCAGGTATTTCCTGTGTTAAACATACATTTATAATAAAATGTCTGATTCAATATCAACATGTGGTATCAGACATATGTATTGCCCATGTTGACATTGTTTAATAGCCACTGTATGTAGGAACATATACAGTATAGGCTCTTCGAAGTAGTAACATTGTGCATGTGAAGTGTCTACGTGTGCTTTTTAATCTCATCAGTGTGAATCCACACACTCACATAACTGTTTCTACCATCCATATGCCCTGAAGTTGTAGCTAATTCGCAAGCCAGACATGTAACAATGCATTTATTTAAATCTTATCATGGCCTTATTTATTATTTTTATTATAAATAGAATGACTCTTTGTGTCACAAACACCTTCTAGTACTGTAAATGAAATGGGACACTCACCTGAGTTGCACTACTTTTGGTCGATGGTAATAAACATTCATAGAGGAGGGGGGTGAGGGTTGAGGCGATGAGCTCAGGGAAAGGGTTTGGAACAGGGGAAGAGATTGAATCTTCTCCCTTTGTATTGCTCCTAAAAGGAAAATAAATACAGACAGAGAGATAAACAAACAGATGCTGCTCAAAATGTGGTAAATATTGGTCACATCTTGTTTTAAATGTGAGGATCGAAAAGATAGAGGGTGGTATGCTGTACAAATGTCAAAGCCCCATTTTTGCCATATTAGGCTATACATATAAAATAGACTTGCCTTGAATTCAAAATGAGTTCTCAAAAAAGCAGATTATTTGGCCAATGTATATGTCCACCCAATTCTATTTGATGTTAGGGTAAAGCAATAACAAAACATGTTTCCATTGTGTCATTTTGGTTGAATATTACACACTCAAAGTTACAGTTAATCATAAAAAGAAGCTACAGTGAAACTATGTATCAAGCAGATAAACAATTTGTATTTTATTGCAAGAAAGCTGCAGTGGAAATCTAGCTTTTAAAGAAATTAATACAAATAAACACTTCCTATCTTGCCTGTCAGTCTGATTGTAACATCATAATATTAGACTTTAAGCTAGACTGATTTTGCAACATGTACCTTGAAGAGCTGTTACAACACATTGCTGGTTTATTTGCTGCGTGTGTCTCATGTAGAGGAATGGGGAGTATAAACGAAGCAGGTGATAAACTGAGAGAAACACTAGGCTGTCTCTGTATGGACTCCTCCCGCTCTCAACCACACAGCGACTCACCCCACACACCATCAGACTTTGATAAGATAATGCAGTGCATGAGCTGCCACTGATTTAACCAGTAACATGTATTGGCTAGCATAAAGAAAAAAAGGTTTTGTGTTATAAAAAATAGCATGATCCACAAGTCATAATCGCAAAATGTTATAAATAAGTGTCACTCACTTAACACAACCCCTAAGGGAATGCTTTAGCGAATGTGATGCACTAAATAGTAGCCAGGATGGATGAGTTGTCTAGTACTCAAATGTATTCAACATGTCCTTACAGTAATCTAAAATCTGAATGAATCTGAAAATGATGTTAAAGGTCCCATGTCATGCTTTTCCGGTTATTATCCGTCCCCTTGTGTGTTATGTAGCTTTTTATGCATGTAAACGGTCTGCAGAGTCCAAAACCCTCAAAGTACACCCTGTAGCGAGTAAAACTCTAACACAGAAAATACCTGTATATGCTGCCCCAGAACGCCTTGTCCATTTTTTTTTTCCTGGGAAGTAGTGACGTAAGGGGCTAAGTGACGTAACAGCTACGTGGATTGGTCCATCCGTGACTTCCACACACACACACACACACACACACACACACACACACACACACACACACACACACACACACACACACACACACACACACACACA